GTCTTCATAAACAGGGTCACTGCCCTGAGCACTTCCATTATGTGAGGACACAGTGAGGGACCCCAAGGAATGGGCTCTGGGAAGCCTGGGACTCAGTTTCTGTATCTGTAACGTGGAACATGCACGTACCCCTCAGAACTAGGTTTTTGGTACAAGGCAGGTGCTCAGGAAATGCTGGCTCACAGGTGCCGGGGTTAGAGGTCATGGGAATCACCACATACGGACAGAACCACACCCGCTATGTAGCTAAGCCAGGATCCCTGGCATGCCCCCACCCTGTCTATGCCGCAGACGCAGATCTTGGATTGCAGCGTGGTGTCTCACTTCCCCAGGGAGCCTGATGACAGGGCGCTTTGTGGAAGGGAATCCAGGGTTGGGGGTGGCATTGCTCCCTGACACAAGTGCAGGACACAGGGCACTGCCAGCTTACCTTCTTTGTCAGGGCCTTGGGGAGGGTTCCAAAATGGGGCTCTGATGCTCTGTCCACTGGGTTGTTGATGTCGGAGGGGACAGACTCTGTCCTCCGAAGCCTGGCTACTGTTTGGAAAGGAGGGAATCCGTTAGCAGCAACAGGCCACCAAGATGCACCCGATTCCCGGACGTGGGAGAAGGGGAGAGCTGTCACTCACGTGGGAGGAAGGATATTCTGCAGGCGGGGGCTTCCTTGGTGCACTTGTTGTGACATTTCAACCTGCAAAGGAGCAAGAGTCAGCACTCTAAGAGGCATCCCAGAATTGCTCAGATGACCCTGACACAGCCTCAGTTTCCCCAAAGCTCTCAACAAGTGTTAACAACCATGTGCCATAGCACTGTCTTCTATGTCCCCAAAGCCCCCTCCCCTGCTTTTAAAGGGGGGGAACTTGCTCCACTTTAGAAAGCTCGGGGAAATCTGACCTTAAAGAAACATTCTAGAGAGGCCACCAGCATCATCAAGGGTGCTGGGGCCCCCAAGGGTGTCCCCCTTCAGGCACTGGCCAGTTTGATGGGTCTAGCCGGCCTGTCCCACAGGTCTCAGTGTTCCTGCTAATAAAACGGGCTGCAGGGCTATAAGTCCAGGACTGTGTATCGCTCAGGGGCCACCATGTGCTGGCCACACCTGCATGGAGCTGAGGATCTCATTTATAGCCAGTTTCCTCAGAGGTCAGGGAGTCATCAACACATAAGTCATCAGGCTGACCTGCATGAGACTCTGTCACCTCAGTCCTGATGACAGCCCAGGAGCTGTCACCCATGGCAGTTCAGATAAGCTGCACAGATTAGCTCCCCAGCTGTCTAAACGGTAAACACGAAGTCTAGAAAGGGCAAGTGCCTTACCCCATGTCACACAGCAACATAAGGGTGGCTAGGAACCGAGACTCCCTCTGTAAGGTGTGTGGGCAACCAGATGGCAGACTGTTCCCTACTTCTGTCCCTTCCCACTGGAAACCATAGTGCTATGACACAGCAAAGCTGGGTTGGTATAAAATCTCATCTCCTACACTCTGCCCAAGCATAAGGCAACTCTGCGGCCACACCCATCCCTGTAGTCTGCCTCCCAACCTCAGAACTCCTTCTAGGCCCCAGAATCCTCATTTTTGTTGTTGTTTTTTTTTGGTTTTTCGAGACAGGGTTTCTCTGTGTAACCCCAGCTGTCCTGGAACTCACTTTGTAGACCAGGTTGATCTCGAATTCACAGAGATCTTCCTGCCTCTGCCTCCTGAGTGCTGGCTGGGATTAAAGGTGCTGCACCACCACCGCCCGGCTAAGTCCTCACTTTATTCCTTTGCCTTTGAATTCTTTTTTCCCCTCATTCTACCTAGTAAACTTCTCTTCATTCTTCGAAACCCACTTCAACTATTCCTTTCTTCCCAGGGTGTCTCAGTTCACCGAAGGACTCCTGAGCACCTGGTGCGCCCACTGGCCTTGTGAACAGCTGGTTAGAGGAAGTCCTTCAAGTGTGATGTGACCAGAGGCCAAGAATGAAGTGGCTGTTACAAAGGACAAGTATCTGCCACACCCCCAGCCCCACCTCGCCCATCACCTGCAGTGTTTGCACTTGACTCCAAACATCATACTCTTCTGGCACACGTTGCAGACCTGCGACAACCATGATTTTGTGGAGAACCTGTAGGGGGTAGAAACGTGTGTATAGATCAGAGCCTGGCCCTCTGAAGGGGTTCTGGGAAAGGGAAACTTAGCCTTATCCCAGAACCCCAGGAGTTCTGTACTGGGGGGGGCCACAGTATCTGCCCCCGCATCTGGATTTCCCAGCAGCTGTCAATATCTTAAAGTTGGTGTGGCCAACGGCACCAAGCATGACACCAGCAATCAAAGCACTGGTGTGCACGCCCTTGGACCCAGCAATTCTAGTTCTTGGTATTTACTCAACACGTCAGTCCCTGGGATGAGATGTTGCATGACATACGGACACATTGCTGCCGCAGCCATATACCACAATAAGGCTGGAAATGCCACGTCCACCAGCAGGTGACCACAGTGCCATCCTCCACACAGAGGAACACATGCAGCAGTTCCCACACACGTGTGCAGCCTCCTCCAAATCTCACAACCAGAAGACCAAATAAAGTCAAGTAGGGCATGATGCCATTGCTGTGAAGGTCAAGCACAGGAAAAGCCCATCTGTGAAGACAGACTCGGGTAGTAATGGCAAAGCTGACTCTCAGGTACTGGAATGTTGTTCTTTATCTCCATCGGCACGCACACAGGGGGCATAGCTATAAAGGCTATATGTGTTGTGCTCTATGTAAATCACATGGATTTAAAGAGGGGAATAAGCCGGGCGTTGGTGGCGCACGCCTTTAATCCCAGCACTCGGGAG